CTTGTTTCTATTATGGGCAAAATTAACCGTGATCTCCTTAATTTCTTGCGTTATCCTTTTTCTGCAGTGATCTGCCTTCTGCTCTCAACAGTTGTTTTCTTACTCAAACTCGCTCTTTTAAGTTAGCATTCACAAGGTGTTCCAGATAACATCCAAAGCAAATTTTACATCTTCCTCAAGTTTCTGTCATTGTGTAGGACCTTCGAATGTGGACAACTAATTTATTATCTGAGGTCGGAAAAAGATAGGAGGAAACTAGAGGAGATGAGGGAACATTTAACTTATAGAAATTTATAATGGAGAAATGGTTGATATTGATAAGCCTCTCACTGTGACAAAGTTCACTAGTGATCTAATTACTTGTTTCAATTACGAGCAAAATTAATCCTTAATTTCTTGCATCATCCTTCTTCTGCAGTGATCTGTCCTAAACAGTCGTTTTCTTACTCAAGCTCGCTCTTTAAGTTAGCATACATGAGGTGTTCCAGATAATATTGAAAGCAAATTTGGCATCTCCGTCAAGTTTCTGTCATTGTGTAGGAGCTTGAAATGTGGACAACTAATGTATCATGGGACCAATATACTGAACCAACTCATACAAATGAAAGTTTACTCCTGCTCTGTTCATGGAGAGGCATCAAAAGGAACAACGTCCCTACATTATTTTCTTTGTTTTGAAAATGTAGAAGAGGTAGAACTTTGATAAGTCTCTGAGAGTGATAAACTGTCTACAGGAGATCTGTCATCAGATAACTATGCTAAATTTTTTTATGAGGAATCGCTCAATAATTGTTTAGAACTTTGTCTAGCGCTTTAAGATTGATTTTTCATTGTGCAACACACTTTAGGAAATATGTGATAATCTGAGGTTGGAAAAAGTTAGGAGGAAACTAGAGGAGATGTGGGCACATTTAACTTATTGAGATTTATAATAGAGAAATGATTGATATTGATAAGCCTCTCACTGTGACAAAGCTGACTAGTTATCTAAAAACTTGTTTCTATTATGGGCAAAATTAACCGTGATCTCCTTAATTTCTTGCGTTATCCTTTTTCTGCAGTGATCTGCCTTCTGCTCTCAACAGTTGTTTTCTTACTCAAACTCGCTCTTTTAAGTTAGCATTCACAAGGTGTTCCAGATAACATCCAAAGCAAATTTTACATCTTCCTCAAGTTTCTGTCATTGTGTAGGACATTCGAATGTGGACAACTAATTTATTATCTGAGGTCGGAAAAAGATAGGAGGAAACTAGAGGAGATGAGGGAACATTTAACTTATAGAAATTTATAATGGAGAAATGGTTGATATTGATAAGCCTCTCACTGTGACAAAGTTCACTAGTCATCTAATTACTTGTTTCAATTACGAGCAAAATAAATCCTTAATTTCTTGCATCATCCTTCTTCTGCAGTGATCTGTCCTAAACAGTCGTTTTCTTACTCAAGCTCGCTCTTTAAGTTAGCATACATGAGGTGTTCCAGATAATATTGAAAGCAAATTTGGCATCTCCGTCAAGTTTCTGTCATTGTGTAGGAGCTTGAAATGTGGACAACAAATGTATCATGTGAACAATATACTGAACCAACTCATACAAATGAAAGTTTACTCCCGCTCTGTTCATGGAGAGGCATCAAAAGGAGCAACGTCCCCACAAGCATGATTACTTCCATCATGGATCTTTTTCACATCAAAGAGATGATCTCTGTGCTATTATGTTTGTGTTATTTTAATTTTATCATCTGTGTATCAGTTCCGGATGTACATCATCTGTTGAGTTTAATTTGCATTGTTCTAAAACACTGTTTCAATATATGCTTTGTCCAGGAGCGCAATGCATAAACAGATTATCTGATGCTTAAACAGATTATGCAAGTTACACGGATTTGAATTTCTAATATCTTACACGCACATATTATATATTTATTAGAATATATACTAATGAAAGAACTCAACAGATATTCAGCACTAATAATCGTCATGCTATCGGTATGTCACAGGGTCACTTGTGCTCGCTGTTGATTATTATAGCTGCCTTTGCCTATAGTTGCCTTGTCATTCTATTGAATGGAAATTCCTCAACTGTATGGGATTCTGAAGAGAAAGATTGGAATCATGTTTGAGGGGAAATAATGTTATAGTTTGAGTTGTTATTTACATATAGTGGTGGGTCTTATATCGGGTTTGAATCTATTTGCAAAGATTTCCAGCTTTGGACTCAGCCACTTATGTGGCGCAAACCGTGGGCTATAATTACATTAATTTCCTACCTTTTTTTCTAACATTGTGTTAAACAGATTATGCAAGTTACACGGATTTGAATTTCTAATATCTTACATGCACATATTATATATTTATTGGAATATATACTAATGAAAGAACTTAACATATATTCAGCACTAATAATCGTCATGTTGTCGGTATATCATATGGTCACTTGTGCTCGCTGTTGATTACTATAGCTGCCTTTGCCCATAGCTGCCTTGCCATTCTGTTGAATGGAAATTCCTCAACTGTATGGGATTCTGAAGAGAAAGATTGGAATCATATTTGAGGGGAAATAGTGTTATAGTTTGAGTTGTTACTTACGTATAGTGGCAGGTCCTATATCGGGTTTGAATCTGTTTGCAAAGATTTCCAGCTATGGACTCAGCCACTTATGTGGCGCAAACCGTGTAACTTGCATAAGTTGTTTAAGCATCAGATAATCTGTTTATGCATTGCGCTCCTGGACAAAGCATTATAGAACAATGCAAATTAAACTCAACAGATGATGTACATCCGAAACTGATACACAGATGATTAAATTAAAATAATACAAACATAATAGCACAGAGATCATCTCTTTGATGTGAAAAAGATCCCTGATGGAAGTAATCATGCTTGTGGGGACGTTGCTCCTTTTGATGCCTCTCCATGAACAGAGCGGGAGTAAACTTTCATTTGTATGAGTTGGTTCAGTATATTGCCTTTTGATGCCTCTCCATGAACAGAGCGGGAGTAAACTTTCATTTGTATGAGTTGGTTCAGTATATTGTTCACATGATACATTTGTTGTCCACATTTCAAGCTCCTACACAATGACAGAAACTTGACGGAGATGCCAAATTTGCTTTCAATATTATCTGGAACACCTCATGTATGCTAACTTAAAGAGCGAGCTTGAGTAAGAAAACGACTGTTTAGGACAGATCACTGCAGAAGAAGGATGATGCAAGAAATTAAGGATTTATTTTGCTCGTAATTGAAACAAGTAATTAGATGACTAGTGAACTTTGTCACAGTGAGAGGCTTATCAATATCAACCATTTCTCCATTATAAATTTCTATAAGTTAAATGTTCCCTCATCTCCTCTAGTTTCCTCCTATCTTTTTCCGACCTCAGATAATAAATTAGTTGTCCACATTCGAATGTCCTACACAATGACAGAAACTTGAGGAAGATGTAAAATTTGCTTTGGATGTTATCTGGAGCACCTTGTGAATGCTAACTTAAAAGAGCGAGCTTGAGTAAGAAAACAACTGTTGAGAGCAGAAGGCAGATCACTGCAGAAAAAGGATAACGCAAGAAATTAAGGAGATCACGGTTAATTTTGCCCATAATAGAAACAAGTTTTTAGATGACTAGTCAGCTTCGTCAGAGTGACAGGCTTATCAATATCAATCATTTCTCTATCATAAATCTCAATAAGTTAAATGTGCCCTCATCTCCTCTGGTTTCCTCCTAACTTCTTCGACCTCAGATTATCACACGTTTCCAAAATCAATCTTAAAGCGCTAGACAAAGTTCTATAAAATTATTGAGTGATTCCTCATAAAAAAAAATTAGCATAGTTATCAGATGACAGATCTCTTGTAGACAGTTTATCACCCTCAGAGACTTATCAAAGTTCTACCTCTTCTACATTTTCAAAACAAAGAAAATAACTTAAGTCTTCAATCGCTTCTCATAGTTCAAAAAAGTGGAAATTTCTACCTCTTCTACATTTTCAAAACAAAGAAAATAAGTCAGACCATGTCTGGCAACCAGGTCAAAATGAATTATAACCCATTTTTGCATATTAGGTAGCATGGATTATTTTGGATTATAATCCACCAAAAAATAATAATTGCATATTAGGTATTCTGGATTATAATCCAGAATACCTCAATTATTATTTTTTTGGTTGACTATACACCAAATCCTAGGTTATTTTTCCGGTGGTTACTGACTTATAGTCCACATGTGTGACCAAGTAGAAAACAAAAATGCCCCTCACGTTTTACATCTCATTTTACTGACTTATAGTCCACATGTGTGACCAAGTAGAAAACAAAAATGCCCCTCACGTTTTACATCTCATTCTTTTCCCTTCTCCTGTGACCAAGTAGAAAACAAAAATGCCCCTCACGTTTTACATCTCATTCTTTTCCCTTCTCCTTCCTCCCGCTTTTAAGCGTTATTTTTCAATTTTAGTAAAAGGCATATGGGTTATAAACCACCCTCTTCACCAAACACTTAAAATCTAGTGCTCAAATGTCAAAACAAACATGCTGGACATATGAGTTAGTAGTAAGAGCTGTGATATATGTATCCTTAAACGATAAAAATTAAGGCCGTATTTTTTTTATAATGGTAGTTAAAAATATATTTGGATATATGTAACATCTTATTTACTATAGGGGAGCAAAATGCATAATGAGCCTTCAAGCAAAACTCGTAAGCTTCCTACTGAATACTTTTGACACATGTTATGTTTTTAATTATATTACTGGCTATCTAGATCTTACTGAATACCTATCACATAGTGTGCTGTTTCTTGTGTACGTACTTGTTTCTGTTATTTTATTTGTGGACAATATTAGTGTTTCTGCTGTAGAAGGACACTTTATCTTTTGATTGTGATGAGATTTATGTAGATCTAATTTTGGAATTGAAATTTTTAAATTTTTTAGTGCATGTTTAAAGCCTGAATGATTTAATGACGGATGGTTATGATTTATATTATCCATATTTTTGCAGGACAAACTAAAAGTTTATCTTGCACCTTTCCTTCATGGAAGGCACTACACATCGTTTGGCCGTCATTTCACAGAAGTTGATAAGCTCAAGGAGGTAAGCCGCCTGTACATGTAGATGTCCAAATGTTAGGTTGTTCCCTTTTATGTTGTGTCAGGTTGTGTTTTTTCATGAATTTAAAGAAATGGTTGAGTATCCCCTGGTTATGAATTAGAATTTGGGCAGCAAACTCATTGAACATCGCAATATGATTTTCTCGAAGTTGGATTCTTTACGTATTTGTTGAGCTAATTGTAATATTTGAAGACTATTGGCTCGCACAACAACCTGGAGAAGAAGATTTTTGAGTATAAAGCATTTAAAAGTGTTAACTGTGGTTATTTGAGTTGAATACTTTGAATAATTGTTGTTTGATTATTACTGATAGAATATTTCGTCTTCTGCAGATTGTAGATAGGCTTCAATGGTATGTGAAAGATGGTGATACAGTGAGGATTCTAATTTTGTTCGTTTTTTCCCTTTATTACAGGGCATCCTAGGAGCTTCTTTTTTGTTTAGGGCCCTTTCTATAGTACATGGTAACTTGGTTAAACGGTTTTCTGATGGCCACATCTATCCAGTCTGCAATGTTATGCCTGGTAGTGTTTCATCTGTGCATCTATTTTTGCTAGGTCTTAGTAGCAATCCATTCAAACGATAATACACTTGTGCAATTTAACTTCGACAGATCATAAATATACCTCACAATCCTCCAACACCACAAGACTCAAGTAGTTCATTTACAGTTTTTGAAACTAAATGAAACTCATAACATGTCTACTATAAAATAAATTAATTCATAGTTAACAATGAACCACAGTTCATATGATCCAATTAATACACTTAAAGTCTAACATTCATGCATAATCAAATACTTGATGGCCTTGCCTGGCCTTTCCATTGACTCCATCATCTTCATCTCAAGACAACATAGACTCTCTACTTTTCTACAACCAAACTCGAGAACGTCCTTTGCTACCTTGACTTTGTCAAAATTTTAAGATATAGTATGCTAAATAACTAAAAGAAGTACCAGTAGATTAAATGATCAGATCGCAAAAACGTATTTGTGATACGAAGTAATAAATTATGTTTCAAAGAGTCTCACCTTCATCATGACTGTACCTTAGAAGATTCTACATCTTGGCATTGATGAAGCTTTAGCTCTTGAATTATGTTGTCTTTGATACCTGAAATTCCTGTCACAAAAATCTGTTTGTTTTACTACTATTTGGTAAATGCCTTAATGGGTTGGACTTCAAACGTCCTTTCCTATCCATGCACATTCAAATTAGGATGAGTTGTGAATCGTCCACTTGGTGGCCGGTCATCTAGTTTGATGGCGGCGTAAATAAAGCACTAACTCATCTTTCGTTTATGCTATAACAAGCTTGGTCAACAGAGCAATCAGAAGTCAATTATATCATATTCAGCATATACTTAGAACTCCTCATAGCATGAATAGATGGTCTTTACATGTATACATGTTTATGAACATTATATCTAGCTAGATTGCTAGATCATTATGCCAAGATATATGATGAAATTCTATGTTTAATGGATATATGATGAAACTCTATGATTGCTAGATCATTATGCCAAGATATATGATGAAATTCTATGTTTAATGGATATATGATGAAACTCTATGTTTGCTGTAAAGTTCACTAACTTAAAATTATGAAATTCTATGTTTAATGGATATATGATGAAACTCTATGTTTGCTGTAAAGTTCACTAACTTAAAATTACTCTGTTCAAGAGCTTCGGTATTTTTCTGAGCTCGCAATTCTATCTACTACAGAAGCTGAAATTTAGGTAGGATATTTGGTGTTGTATCACATAGATTGCATAATTGTGATTCTTAAACTGTGATATATTTAATATCAAACACAAAGATGAGCGAAACTGTGAACATTCTGAAAATTGTTCTGATACCACCTTTATCAGCTGTTCATTCCTCATGATGCTAATTTCTTTTCAGATTGTTGATTTCTGCTGCGGCGCTAATGATGCTAATTTCTTTTCAGATTGTTGATTTCTGCTGCGGCGCTAATGATTTCAGCCAATTAATGAAAGAAAAGCTTGATATGCAACAGGAAATAAATGTTCATTTAAAAATTATGACATCATTCAACCGAAGGTAACTTTTCCTATTTAAAACTGTATCTTCCCTTGCACTGCTGCAAAATCTGTAGCATCTTTCCTTGTGGAAACATAAAACCTCAAAATTGATATTCAGAAACATCTCAATAGCTTCTTTTTGATATAATAATCGATTTGTATCTTATTGAATAGTTCAAAGTAAGTTAAGATTTTTTATTATAGATATAGTGCCTAGGTTGCAGGGATGAGGAGTTGATACATGGTTTTAAGAGCGGTAATGTGTGCATGTGTGCGTGGACGTGTTGTGTGCAGCTCTCTAGTTACAGGTTCATGGTCACGGTTTTTGAGAAAAGTAGCATTGAAGTAATGAAGTAGTCACAATAATTAGCTAATCAGTTCGGAGGGGTGGGGGAGAGGAGGAGGGGGGGTGGGGGTGGCTGGGGAGTACAGGTTGTAAACTAGAAAGGCATTATGGTAAAGTGCTTGAAACCTAAAAAGAATTCTTCGAAGTTAGCAATGATGACATCTTGGTGTTTCAGCATAATTACGACTAGAGTAGTCTAATTATGATATGATAACTCTTTCGATAAGTATGTGTTCAAGGAACTTCCCAACAGCATTCTGGCTCAACTGAGTTCAGGCTGCATCTGCACTTGCAGTCTTACACAAGTTGAGAATGTTCCACTGGCAAGATAATCCAAATTGGTAAACGATGTGTGGAAACAAATGACATGTCCGGTTAGGCGGATTTCTGATAGTCCAAAAAAGAGCCATATTTCATTAACAATATATATATTGCTTTTTCGTTAGAACACAAAGCTTGAGCACACTCGTGATGCGCTAGTTGATGCTCGTCAATTACTATCAAGTATTGGTGCATGGAAATTATGAAGTGGAACTTAGGGGTGTAAACAGTTCGATTAGGGCTCGGAATATGTACTTAACGATGTCCATATGCATGGGAAATTATGAAACAGTGGACACTTAGGGGTTGAACCACGTGAAGAGGTGCATGAAGAGATGAATTCACGTGAACACGTGAAGACGCTTGGGGCACCCACAATGTGTGCGTGGCGTGAATGAAAACCAGAGCGACAAAAAACCAGGCGACACAACCTTTGGCCTCCGCGAAATTACAAGGCACCGAATATACATGCATATATATGGGTTTTTTTTAAGGTTTCGAACCGTGCTGCGCAAGTGAGGGGGTTGTTGTTGGGCCAGCGCAAAAGAAAAAAACAAAGGCAGGAGGCGGTGAAGTTTGGGATTTTCCTTTAGCGGCGTGGCAGCAGACGAAAAGTGCAAGGAGCTTTATTTGGTCTTGGGTGGTGCGGCGCAAGAGGAAACATTGGATCGCGGCTAGCAGGAGTTCTTTTGTAGCCCTTTGAGAAGATTTTGTAAGAGCGGATTTGAGAGTTTGTTTGGAGGGTTTGTCTGTGAGATTGTGTAAACCCTAGTTGATTCTTCCCTCTACATAGTAGATTCTCCCCCGCCATTGCCCCGTGGACGTAGGCAGTTAGCCGAACACGTAGAAATTTTGTTTTGCCGGTGATTTTGTAATAGCTTGTAGGCTATCCCATCGACGGCGCAAGTCCTAAGAAGCTGCGATGAGGACCCTCGACGCGCAGTCTTAGAGCCTGTACGAGAGGAAGAGCCAGATATCTCACTTTTGATGAGATATCTGGCTTTCGTTCTGTTTCCTTTGATAAACTAGAATTCCGTGTGATCTAATCTCTTGTCTGTGCACCTTGGGCCCCCCCCCCCCCCCCCCCCCCCCCCCCCCCCCCCTCCCCTCGGAGGTCTTGCCAAAATCTTCCGCTGCCGCACACAATGTATCAGAGCTCGGTTGGACTTGGGAGTTTGTTTGAAGGATTTCGCTGAAGGATTTCTTATCTGAAGGGTTAGATCGACAATATGCGTTGTGAGCAAGCACATCTGGGATCGTCTCTTACGAAAGACGAATACATAGTTTGGAGCTAATCCAATAACATGAAGATCGATGATTCGAAGTTCGACGCCAAGTTAATTTCGGATTTGGAGGTGTCAGTGATGGACGCCTTGACGCCTCAGAAATGTGGAGGAGACTCTTGGTTACAAGAGAAACCTGCCGAGATGGAAGTAAGTTTGAAGAAGATGAATTATAGGGCGTGTGGAGTTATTCGGTCATGCTTGACGCCGATCTTATTTATCACGTGATGGAACGAGACGTCGGCGAAGAGAATGTGCCGGAAACACCATGAAAGTACTGATGGAAGAGCCCATTGAGAATCGGCTTCATTGAAGAAGAGGTTTACCATTGTTCAAATGAAGTAGGGGAGTTTCCATTAGGACCATGTTAATTAACGTTCACAAAAGCTACTTTCAGACATGGCTAATGTGGATATCATGTTGAGGCGATGCAAGACAAGGCGATGGCTACTTTTGTGTTCGTGCCAGATGATCATTTTGTACGTTGCTCCTAACTATGATTAATGGATAAAGACACTACTGCTTAGTATATAGGAGGTGACCTCAGCGTTGGTGAATTATGAGTGAGGAAGGAGTGGGTGATGAGTCCTCCGAAGGCATCGGAGACTGCATTAGAGTTCATCGGCCGTGGTTCAACCGAAGCAGCGAGGTCCAGCTAGGGTGCACATCGTGGATTCTATAGGAATCAGTGTGGCCTTTTGGAAAGAGGTCATGGACATTGGAAGCTGAATGCCCCAAGTTAGCCATTCGAGCGAAGAATGAATTTTAAAAGGGGGAAAAAGGGCTGTACAAGCTCCAGAGCATGAAATGTTGTCAAGACCTAGTGCAACAATTCAGATTCGGATTCTTCAGGCTATTCGTTGTCTGCACTCCGTCAGTTGTGTTGCCAACTCTACAGAGTGGAATGTTGGATTCAGGTGCTTCATACATATCCACATTTGCCCCTAGGAGGGATTCGCTTATCTCTAGCTTTCAGAAGTTGGAAAGAGAGGAGATGTTGTGCTCATGGGTAAATGACATGCCATGCTCTATTCTGGTGTGATTGGTAGCCGTCGGATTAAGATGAGTGACGGGATGGCGGGAGTTGGAGAAGTGAGGTTCGTTCCGCAGTTGTCGAAGAACATCATTTCACTAGGACTTGGTGGCATCTGCTCTATAAAGTGACCTTGGTGGATGCACGTTTGAAAGGTCACTTGGGGTCCAATGATTTGTGATGAACGTCAGAAGGAGCAATTTGGTATTATTTGCTCGCGAAGCACGCGCATGATAGGGAATAACACGTTCATCAGATTCGGCTAGACTGTGCGTTGTTGATGCTGGCGATTATTTATTAGGTAATTGCCGTGCATTAGTTATTGAGGAAATACTTATGACTAGCAGTTGGAAGTACCTAGTGATGAAAACCATTGTTGAGCGAGAAGACGAGATGGATTGGCACCTTCATACGCCATCATTCGAGGGGTCTTCTGAGGGGTTTTAATTCAGCATTCGGGCGGCCATCTCTAAGGAGCATGTGGAAAATAGGTATTGTCCTTCCGCAGTTGGGAGAAAATTGCTCTAGGCATTGCAGATAGAAAAGCGTTGCCCACCAAGTCCGTGGTGTGAAGTCCCTAAGAAGCCCGCCCAACAAAGGAGAAAGTGTATGGCAGAAGGCTGAAGGTACTTCAGTCTTATGGTTAAGAGGAGGATAACAAGAGGGACCTATATCATGCCAATTTGTGCCGAGACTCACGGCAATTGGAGACACTTCAGTGGATGTGGAAACTTTGACGGCGACGTGTGACGGATGCAGATTTGAGGAGCTGTTCCTTTCTGGAGGGAGGATCGACGTTGATGTTCGAGCAGGCATTGGTGTGGCGGGCTATACACATGTTGACCCGTCCAATGTATAGGTTGCCGAGACTTGCATGACAATGTAGAGATATTTGGATACTGGTGGAGCCGCTTCAGATTTATTGGGATTGCGTCAGAGATGTTTGGCTACCAGCATACTTGGTCACATCGTGAATGTCGAAGATTTGTATCGTAGCCCCCACTGTAGGATTCAGATGCGTGTTTGATTAGTCAAGAGTATTGCCTGCTGCATGTTGTCTGAAGCAGGCCATGTCACGTTAACTCATCGGCAGGTAGAGTGGTGATCAAGATACTTTGGGACATCGCAGCAGGGTGGAGAGTGATGCTACTCCACGTTGGAATGGAGAACTCAAGATCAATACGTATCAATTATGGAGATTCCAGTGAGGTGACACAGATTGGCGGATCATTATGAGATTGCGACTGCAGATGAATGAGTTGGATCTCGATTGCCAGCTGATGAATTATATAATGAGATACAGCATTGGTCACCTCAAGATGGAAAAACGGATGTTTGATTATGTACCTGCTCAAATGTAGAGCGTATTTGGAGTGCATATCAGTTGCAGATCAGTATTATAGTGATAATTGAAGAAGAAGTTGCAGACTATTTCTATTTGTTTGCCAGGGCTATTAGGAGGCGATTTGGCTGTGAACTACGTTCGGCAGTTGAATTCAAATTGCGCAATGAGGATACAGTAAGCATCTTTACGAGCCAGCCGCGGTTGGGAATTAGATTGATGGAGGCTGTGAAGCTGATTGTAACGTGAAGGACATCCACATTTGCGTTGAGTATATAGTCCCATGTGGGTCTCAGCAAGTCAAGGCATGCGTGTGAGTCGTAGTAAGGCTCAGATTTGAATTGAGTGAGTAGACAACTATTTGTTTGGGTATGAGTAGATTACCACATACCCATTTGGGTCTCGACCTGTTGTGGATGGAGTCCGTTGTCATGAGTCCGTTGCCATGGCGTACTGGATACAACAAGTGAGGCATTTGGTTTGATTGGTGTCGGCTCAGTTTTGGAAAAACTTCGCCGAGGTGGAGAATTGTGAACCCACGTGAATGAGGTGCATGAAGAGATGAATTCACGTGAACACGTGAAGAGCTGGGGACCACATGTGTGCGTGGGTGAATGAAACCAGCGGACAAAAACCAGCGGACACAACCTTTGGCCCACGCGAAATTACCAAGGCCCACCCGAATATACATCATATATATGGGTGTGTTTTTTAGGTTTCGGTGTGCCAAGTGAGGGGGTTCTTGTTGTGCGGCAGCAAAAGAAAAAACAAAGCAGGAGGCGGTGAAAGTTTGGGATTTTCCTTTAGGCGGCTGCAGCAGACGAAAAGTGCAAGGAGCTTTGGTCTTGGGTGTGCGGCTGCAGAGGAAACATTGGACGGCTGCAGGAGTTCTTTTGTGCCTTTGAGAGATTTTGTAAGAGGGATTTGAGAGTTTGTTTGAGAGGGTTTTGTCTGTGAGATTGTAAACCCTAGTTGTATTCTCTCCCTCTAATAGTAGATCTCCCCCCCTTGCCCCGTGGACGTAGGCAGTTTGCCGAACCACGTAAAATTTTGTGTTTTTGCCGTGATTTGTAATAGCTTGTAGGATCCCTCGACGCGCAGTCCTAGAGCTGACGAGAGGACCCTCGACGCGCAGTCTTAGAGCTGACGAGAGGAAGAGCAGATATCTCACTTTGATGAGATATCTGGCTTTCGGTTCTTGTTTCCTTTGAGAAACTAGAATTCCGTTGTGATCTAATCTCTTGTTGTGCACCTTAGCGCACCGGAGGTGCTGCCGAAATTTCCGCTGCGCACAACAGTCCATATCCGCTTACAAATCACAGATACTGATGTATCTTGGTAAGGAAAAATATTAACCGTGTCCGCTAAAATTGGATATAGATACGGATATGCATGCGAATACTATGTGGATACTTGATGGTTATGAGAAAATCAGATAACATTGAAAAAAATATACTTCATATGATACAAGAGAGTTCATTAGTATGTTTCTTGTCATCCTATTTACTTCAATAGCCAAACTTCTGGTCAAGAAGTTATGTGAAAGGTTGAGCAATATGGTGCAGGATGTAATGCTAACAAACTCCTTGGGGATGACGCCATTGAGTTTATTTTGGGAAAGATTCAAAACAATCAAGCTTCCGCAATTCGCTAAACTAGTATGGATATTGGCTTCAACTCCGCTAGCTCTAAGGTCTAAATAGTTCACCTGTGTGAGATTGCCAACTAAAGATGGGATTTGTCCATGGAAATTGTTATTTGATAAATGCAATTAATGCAACTTCTGAAGCCTACCGAGATCAGGAGTGATACCGGTCAATTTGTTTCCATGAAGGAGAAGCACAATTAGATTGACAAAGTTCCCAATTCCGTTGGGAATGCTTCCGGAAATATGATTATCTCCTATTACCAATATATTAAGCTTTGACGAGAGATTAACAATAGAGCTAGACAATACACCACCAAAACTATTCCCGCTAAGTCCTAGTGTTTCTAAATTTGTACAGTTGGTTAAACATGCTAGAAAGTCTCAACCCTTTGCTTGGTTAACTTCTAACCGGTTCCTGCTCAGGTTTATCCAGTACAAATTCTTTATATTTTCTAAATTTTAAGGCACCATGTCACTGAATCCATTACCTTCCAAATCAAGTTCGACCAATTTAGATGCATTAGGGAGGAAAATTAGAATAAGCTCAGTAAATTATTTCCAAAAAGAAAAAGCATCTGTAGATTTGGTAGAGTGTTGAACATGTTCGACGGAAGAGTGTCATGCAAATGGTTATCTCCCGCCACGAAGTACTGAAGTGATGACAGATTATAAAGAGAGGAAGGGATCTCACCTAATAACTTATTCATCGAAACTTGAAAGATTTTGAGGCTCTTGAGTTTGCCGAGGCTATCAGGAATTCTTCCCTCCAATCCAGCATTATAGAGGAGTAGAAGACATGTTGCCAAAAGAAGCCGGTATTGTTCCAAAGAGGTCATTTTCGCCGAAATTAATTGACAGTAGATTTGAAAGTGAACCGAGTTCTTCTGGAATCATGCCCACCAGCGTATTGTTGTTTAAGACAATTTTTTTCGAAGAGTGGAGTAGTTGCTTAGACTTCCATGATTTTCGGCATCGAGGGAATTGAAGCTTAGATTCAAATATTGGAGACGACGACCGAGTGATTGTGTTATTAGGCCTTGGAAATGATTGACAGAGAGTTCATGTTTTGTGATGAAGCTCGGATTGGAAATGGAGGGTGAAATAGAACTAGCGAGCTTTAGGGAGTTGAGGTCTAATGCATTGACTCTTCCAGAGTGATTTCGGTTGTCGCAAATAACACCTTGCCAATGGCAGAAATTAGGATTGTTGTTGGTGTTCCATGATGCCAAGGCTCCAAGAGGATCATTAGAAATGAGAGATTTGAATGATAGAAGGGCAAGGAGGTCAGTTGTGTTCTGTTGATTTGATTGTTGGAAGAAGGAGAAGAAGGATGGTGGTATTAATGAGACATGAAAACCGTAGCTTTCTTCTTTGTGTGGCTATTGTGTGGAGAGATGAAAGATTCAAAACAACAAACTATCTCTAATTCAATGAAAAAGAGAAGCTGGTATGGACCAGAATCATATGTTTTCAATGTCTCATAGTTTGATTAAATATTTACACAAATTAACTCTTCTGAATCAAAAGTATAGTTCTTTGACTAAATTCCTTTTTTGTTTGCTCCAAATCTCGGTGTAATTTTTCGCAGGTGCATTCTTATAGAAAACTGAAAATGACTGGATCAAATTGTTGAATTTTGAAAGGCAAATTTTTAGATTTTAGGTGTTTCGCTGCATTACTATGTAGTTACCACACAAGAAAGCGATGAGTCTATTCTTAAATTTTATTTTCTTAATTGTGTACAAATTGTTTAGAGGCCTATATAGTTTTTAGATTGATTAACAGGGTCTTTGGATATGCTATGTGTAATTAAAGTCAATATTTATTGATTGGGAAGCATATGTAAGTTTCTTCGGTTGATTTTTTTAAATTTAAATGGAGCATATATTGCAATTTTTTTGTATATGTGCAAAACCAAAACAATAACAAGAAAAACTGTACAATCCTATATAATCAAGCCAACAAGAGGAGTTCATCGTATTTTTACTACATGTAATTAATACTTGTGTTTGGCACAAGCGGGAGTACTGTTATAGTAAAATATAAGTTCAAAATCACACGCAACTGTAATACGTACTATTTGATACAAGAAAACGGAAAATTACCATTATATGTCGTTTGTCCGATATTTCACTTGCTAAGTACTTAATTGAATTTCCACTGCCTCAATAACTTTTCAAACTTTAAATAAGACTGGCATAGATATCTCTTGCACTTTAGTTTATAACTGCTACGGTTAAAAGGAACTAAAGGAAGCAATGTTAAGTACATATTTATCACATGATTTTGATCCATATCAGCTTCTTTTTTTCATTGAACTAGAGATAGTTTGATGTTTTGAATCTTTCATCTCTCCACACAATAACCACACAAAAAAGAAAGCTACGGTTTTCATGTCTCATTAACACCACCATCCTTCTTCTCCTTCTTCCAACAATCAAATCAACAAACAACACAACTGACCTCCTTGCCCTTCTATCATTCAAATCTCTCATTTCTAATGATTCTCTTGGAGCTTGGCATCCTGGAACACCAACAACAATCCCAATTTCTGCTATTGGCAAGGTGTTATTTGCGACAACCGAAATCACCCCGGAAGAGTCAGTGCATTAGACCTCAACTCTATAAAGCTCGCTGGTTCTATTTCACCATCCATTTCCAATCTCAGCTTCATCACAAAACTTGACCTCTCTGCCAATCATTTCCAAGGCCTAATACCACAATCACTCGGTCGTCATCTCCAATATTTGAATATGAGCTTCAATTCCCTCGATGAAGAAAATCCTGCAAGTCTAAGCAACTGCTCCACTCTTCGAAAAATTGTCTTAAACAACAATGCGCTGGTGGGCATGATTCCAGAAGAACTCGATTCATTTTCAAATCTACTATCAATTAATTTCGGCGAAAATGACCTCTTTGGAACAATATCGGCTTCTTTTGGCAACATGTCTTCCCTGACTAAGCTACTCCTCTATAATGCTCGATTGGAGGGAAGAATTCCTGATAGCCTCGGCAAACTTAAGAGCCTTAAAACCTTTCAAGTTTCGATGAATAAGTTATCAGGTGAGATCCCTTCCTCTCTTTATAATCTGTCATCACTTCAGTACTTTGTGGCGGGAGATAACCATTTGCCTGGCACTCTTCCGTCGAACATGTTCAACACTCTACCAAGTCTTCGGATGCTTCTTCTTTTTGGAAATAATTTTACTAGGCCTATTCTAATTTCCCTCCCTAATGCATCTAAATTTGTCGAACTTGATTTGAAAGGTAATGGATTCAGTGACATGATGTCTTTAAATTTAGATAATCTAAAGAATTTGTACTGGATAAACCTGAGCAGGAACCGGTTAGAAGTTAACCAAGCAAAGGGTTGGGACTTTCTAGCATTTTTAACCAACTGTACAAATTTAGAAACACTATGACTTAGCGGGAATAGTTATGATGGTGTACTGCCTAGCTCTATTGCTAATCTCTCGTCAAAGCTTAATTATTCACCATCGAAAATTAATTTATGAAAATAGTTAAAACACAGACATGTTGAAGAAAACACCATGAAAAAGAAAATATATGAATAAACAAATGTAGCTACACGTTGATTATGTGAAACCCTTTTGTAGCTGTAATAACATCTCTAAGGGATCCCTATAATCTCTCTTAATCTAGGGGGATTTTTAAGGGAGGGGAAGATTATCCTCCAATGGTTCTCCCTTAAATCTCCTCCGATGGTTCCCCCTTAAAAGTCCCACTACTCCTTAATTATTCATAATTAGTATTTTAATTTTATAGATTAGAATTTAATTAAATATGTGGTTTATTTATAAATAAATTAATAATTAAATATTAATAACTAAAAATAAATAAATAATTAATTTAAATTAAGAAATTACCTTATATAATTATTAAATTAATTAATCATATTAAAATTTAATAAATAATTAATTTATATAATAATTAATCAAATTGAATTAACTATACATTAAATCAATTATTTTATTTTGAATTAACTATACATTAACTAAATTTGATTAACTATACATTAACTCCATTAAAAAATTATATTAATATAAAATTATAAGGGAATTATTAAGGGACTTTAACCTTCTCCTTAATTTGGGGAGAGAGTTAAGGGGTTTGGGAGTGAAGAAGCGTTTTTTTTCCGGCTCGTTGGAGCAGCTTCCCTCCGAAATCCCTTAATTAAGCTAAGGGGCCGGATTTTTCAGGCCTCTTGGAGATGCTTTAACATGCTTGAGCTCGTCTCATTTGCTAGGTAACTTTGTGCTATCAAGAGAAGTTTTTTGCTTACATGAAGTCATGTTCTCTCCTTGTATCAGCAAACATCTGCTCAAATGATGTTGATACAGATCCTTATTACTCTCAGAAAAATGAGAAAATTTAGTTTAGAAATCCCAAATATAAGGGCCACAATCGTCCGTTGAAGTAGGTTGAAGCCCAACAACAAATCCACAACCAAGCCCAATGAGCCCAATTGTTCGTACCAATACCAAATTACACAATCATCTCACATTTGCAAAATTTTATTTTCACCCCTACAAAAAAATGCAAAAATGCAAAAATAAAATAAAAATCCTTCCCGCTCCAAATTATCCACAACCGGATAAAACGAAAGCAACCCCAAGCTCAAATCCCTCTCTCTGTAGGTCTCAATGGCTTCTTCAACTGCCCTAGCCCTAATCTCTCCTCTCTCTTCTCCTCATCATCGACGAATCTCCCGATCTCGTTTCCTCTGCTCGATCTCGACTGTAAGCAAAAATCTCACAATCAGAACTCCAAAAAAAAAAAAACCCTTTTCCCCGCCAGATTTTAAGGCGGTTTTCTTCGATTTTACAGCCTCATCGCCATCAGAATCAATTAGAGTTCAAGATTCCTCAGAGCTTAGGCAGAGCGAGCGCGATTGCTCTCGTCGCCGCTTCACTGTTCTTGGTGGACCCCGCAATCGCGTTCAGGGTAATTTCGTTGCTTGACGAAACCCTAACCCTAGCTCTGTTTTGTGAATTTTGTAGCGCAATTTTGTTTTTTGACGATATTTTTTTTGAAGGGAGGAGGGCCGTACGGGCAGGAAGTGACCAGAGGGCAGGACCTCACCGGCAAGGATTTTAGCGGGAAGAGCTTGATCAAGCAGGATTTTAAGACGGTAATTCCCCCCAATTTTTTGGAATTTATAATGCAAAACGAGTATTTTTCTAATAAAAGTTTCATTTAGAGGAAACTTTTTGGTTGCAGTCTATACTGAGACAGGCTAATTTTAGAGGTGCAAAGCTATTAGGAGCGAGCTTCTTTGATGCTGATCTAACGGGTAAGAATTGAACACTTAACTATGTTAAAGTGATAAATTGGGATCATACTTCTCTTTGTTTTGCCGGATATTACTAATTATGTTGTTCGTGATGCTGTTGTATTTATAAGCAGAGGTCAACTTTTATCATAAAATTCTCACGAAGGTGATTTGGTGAATTTTGTTCTCATTAGAATCACAAATCTCATCAGAGACCTTTTGGATAGTTTAAAAGCTAAACTACTTTGATTAGGCTCTTCACTTTAATACTTTTAATAATTCTTATAATTTTAGTTTGAAAACAAACTTAGCATCGTTTTCTCTCCTGAAAAATTATCATGTTACGGGCAAAATCAACCATGTAAATTTCTGTTCAAATTGGATGTAGCGAATCTAGATTGTATGAGAAGTTTAAGCTTATGTACTGTCTTCTTGCCTTTAGGTTTTGTCGTCTGCAACTCAAACAATAGGAGTGCTTATGTGAGCCTTGGTAGAAGTTTGAGGGAGCTTTCTTTAGTTCCCTGTTTTCCAAGAGATCTTTGTTGCTCCCAAAAACTTGAGCAGATTATATCACCATTAGTACCGTTGGAGCATTGCCAATAAATTAGTGTATACATTTGCATTAGGGATAGTCTCTATTGAAAAGATAAATGACAATTTTTTTTTTAATTTAGGCAGCAAGTTTATACTATGGTTATTTGTGTAACTGCTGGACTGTGGAGGATCTCTGACTTTAGTTCATATGTCTGTGCTTGTCAGAATGCTTGACTTTCTCAGGTGGGATTAGATGACAAAAAGATAAAGTTGTGAATAGTGTATCACCTAGAGCTAAAACATAGGAAGAAGGATCAAAGTGAGATTTACCTTGTTAATTGAAGAAGGACTATCAAAGTCATGCTGCTGGATTAGAGAAATAGCGACATTTTGGCAGTAGGTGGTGTATATTTCTTGTTATTTTAACTAGTCTTTTTGCAATTATTTTTTTATATTTTAAACATTTTTGGTGTTCTTTATTGTGATTTTATCTTCAATTAACAAGGCAATGAATGGGAGGACTGCTGCTGCTGACTTATACTTCTTTATCTGGCTTGCATATTGTTGGACAACTACAATCAAGCATATTTATCACTAGTCGTCAAGGGGATAACCTCTTGCTAAACCTTATTTTCAGGTGCTGATCTTTCTGATGCTGATCTTAGAAGTGCAGATTTATCGTTGGCAAACTTCACAAAGGTACTTAATATTAAATAAATTAGCTGATACTATATGGGAATTGTCTCAAATGTTAAATTTTCTCAACTTTTCATCATGATGTTTGCTTGGTTTTCAATCATGATTTGATGGAGTTCTTAAAGTTTTTGAGGAACCAATGAAAGTTTGGGTGCTATAGTTAGTATTCTTTTTGTACTTAGCGTATACAAATAATCTTGCCCATAATTGTTAAATATCTATGAGAACATGCCATCAGCTCTCTTATACTTTCTTTTATGAGTATAAAGCGATGAATCGCAGTTATGAGTTAAAAAAAAATTGATGCGGTTGTGAAGGATTATAGACCAATCAAATATCTTGAAATTTGAAAATAAACCTTTCCTAATTACCACCGCTTAAAAGGAATTACCACTACTTAAAGAAAGGTTTTTAGCATTGCTTATTTGGTCTTGACTCTCGACTCTCAATCAGCCGATGAGTGAACTATATGGAACACAAAGCATCTACAGGGCTAGCTAATATTTGTTGCATTGTGATATTTCTAGGCACTACTTTTCTCCACCTTATGGTATGCTTTGTCGTTTATTGATTATATACTTTTTTATTTACCAATATCTAAATAATTTCTCCAACTAATTCATATAATCCACTCAGTCAATGTTAATTTTAGCTTTTTGGGGTCATGCTCAGTTGATTTAGTTTTTTGGAAAGGTATAACATAAGTCACCTTTATATGACCACACATTTGAAGCATTTGGAAAAGCACACGCATTTCATTTGCTCTAGTTCGCATTCTCTACACGATATTCATGTGCACCTACATTTTAAATGCTCGAATGAGTCTTTATAAGTCTTTATGTGCAGGCAAATCTGACTAATGCAAATCTTGAAGGTGCACTCGCAACTGGAAATACTTCCTTTAGGGGATCAGTCATAAATGGCACAGGTATGTTATGACTGATAGCTTCTCTTTGGTTTGTCAATAGTATCATATATGAAAAAGTTTTTATTCCCTATTAGCTTCCAGAATGGGTGTTGGTTGAATGTTTGAGGCAGATAAGCATGATTCCATTTCGGATACTGTGACGAGTATTAAAAGAAATTTGTGATGAATACTATGAGTTACTGGGCTCTGAGACTTATTAAAGTCATGTTGCTATTATTTTCTATATATGAATAATGATTTCTTTCAGCTCTAAATTTATCCTTCATAATATGAATCATTTTGGCTGGAATTGCTTAAACAAAATTCCGGAGTTGTCATTTCTAACTTCTGTTGAAAGAACATTTTAAAGTGAACTTTATTAGCAGATGAAAACACCATATACAAATTAAACCGGGGCTAGAATGAAGAAAAGTAAATGCAGAAGGAGAAATCTATAATCATGAAGTTCCTAAATTTCTTCCCTCCTTCATAATTAACTCTACAATTCAAGGCTATTTACGCAGACATCATTAGAAGACAAGTTCATCATTACTTAATTGAGAAATTACAAAAGATGACAAAGAGGAAAAAATAGAGACATCTCAATATCATGAGTATCTTTCAAATGTTGATTGCTCCTAAGAAATATAAATATGTCAGTTATCCAGTCATCAATGAGTGGGGTTGGCTCATCGATGAGCTCAGCTCCAGGCTCGTTAATGAGCATCATAGGTCGTTGACGAGTATATGCACAACTTCATCTTGTAGAATACGTTGAGAGCTTTCCGAAAACATATTATAATAGCGATTATGATAAACGAGTCAAAAGTTATGGCTGGTGCAAGCTTTCAGCCTCTTTATACAAATTTCAGCTTTGTTGTATATGTTTTCAGCCCCGTCTTCTTGCCATCTTTTCCTCTCATCTCCAAACTTGTTTGTTATATGCATAGATAATCTCAAACACAAATTAGACCAATATTAAGATTTGTTATTCATCAAACTAAGTCAATTGTAAGGACACTCCTAAATATGTGGAGTTCAGAATTCACGAATACATAAGTTATAACGCATGATTTTTGCCTTTTTTTGGCTTTCACTTAATTGACAATAAATAAGCAGAGTGCAAAATTCACGATTTTTAATGAGACATTACCAACATTTTTTGTTCATTTTCTTTCATTTTGACCTAATGGCAAATATCTATGCGGAGTTCAAAATTAACAATTTTTATGGGCTGTAATCCACAATTGTTGTTCATTTTCATCCGTTTCGACCCGGTGGCATTTTTTTTTTTGCAGAGTTCAAAGTTCACGGTTTCTTCAGCTATATTCCACGATTTTTGTCTATTTTTCTTTGTTTCTATCAAATGACAAATAATTATATGGAGTTCAAAATTAACAATTTTCATGATCTATTACTCTTAAATTTTGCAATTTTAGTTCGTTTCGGATGAAAGTAAAATTTACTATGTATACCTAAATTAGGTCAATTTATTAAGCTCATCTCTTTCTATGCTCTACTCCATGGATCAATTTGGTCCTGGTTTAGTGATATGGCAACGAAAAATGATTAATTGTTAAGTTCGATATACGTCTTTCTTTCAGTTAGATAAGACTTATTGATTTATATATTTATTCAATCTCAGTCCTTACTTGACAGTTATTTTCTGCAGTTATTAACCAGGACTATTTAATTTATCATTCTATTCAAGAATCCTGTCTCATAAGGGTCCAGTTATGAATTCTGAAGAGGTATTCTGTTTGAGAAATTAGTGAATGATCATGATGAAGTGTATTTATATCCGATGATGCGTGCTTCTCTCCTCTTGCTTAGGTCTTCTTATCGTGTTCCATTATCGATCTGTTCCCTTCTTCCTCATTTTCTTCTCTGTTTTGATTTGGGCAGAAACCTGATTTTCTCCAATTAAAAAAAAAATCACTCAATGCTTATCTTTGTAATCATGGTTGCAGAATCACGTGAACAACAGAAACTAACACCATGTTCGTTGTTTTCTTTCCTTCGGCAGACTTCACCGATGTGCCACTGAGAGACGACCAGCGGGAATACCTGTGTAAAATTGCCGACGGGTAAAAACTTGCGGTTTGTCCCGTTGGCTTACATTAGATTTGTTGTTTCCTTCCGAGAGGCTAATGCAATCTTTCATCTTCAGAGTGAATCCAACAACTGGAAACGCTACGAGGGAAACATTACTATGCAACTAACAGTTAGCAACATGTCAAAGCTAGCCACGGGCATTTTCACTGGTGACTGCAATATTTTGCATGAGCTCAGTTATCGTCTCTTTGTGTGACCATTTTTTTTAATCATGTGGTGTTCATAATCCCCGCATCAAGGGGTTGTATAGTGTATGTTATTTAACATGTAAGATTTTGTAATAACATGCACGTTGGACATTTTCTTGTAGATTATTTGTTCATATGCGGAAAGAGCCATATTTATTTCGTTTCTCAGAGATGATAAAGAATCGTTGCGTTATAGAGATAGTCATCGCGTCATCATTCTACCTTGTTTATACAGTTATAAATTTTTATTTTTTCACTTCTTGATGCAAGATGCATGTGTTGATCAGAGAAGTATCAGGTCAGCAAACCCGAATCAGGTTAATTTCGAATAAAAGTTTTGTTGGGGGGAAAAATTCTATGATGTTCAGGTTATTACTCCATTGGATTCGCATCTTAACATTTTGTTCATTCTATTCAAACGACTTTTACTTCCTGTGAGCCCACACTTACATTTAAGTTGAATGCAATTGTCAGAGGAAAAAAAAAAAACAGCTCCAAATCCACTTTACAAATTATAATCTGGAAAATCTGAGATAATAATATACGATTATTCAGTCTATTCCTAAAAATAATAAAATTAATAGTACTACTATGAAAGTGGGGAACATCTACTGGTGTAGGTACTTGAAAAAAGTCATCCCAAGGATTTCCGGACTTTTCTCTCAAAAAATGAGGAGGGGGGGGGGGGNAGGCAAAGTTAATCTTTCAGTATTTTTGTTCGAGGTTTTATGTTTTATGGCTAATGCAAAATAGATTCTGACTAAGGTTTATTGTACTACTTTAAAGTCGTCTTCTCTATTGTCACATTATTGAAATATAACTTAACTCCAAAATAAGTGTACATAAAAGCTCTAATTATATTTCAGATCACAGGCCCACCATGAAACTGAATTTTCTGGATTTAATCCGTTTTTCTAAATTAAAAAAAAATCCTTTTCTTGGTACCGCATGATTATTCAAGGAAGAAAGAGTGGGCTTTAATCCGAAATGAGGAGTAAACTGCAAAGAAGATAATAAGTGAGACTCCGAGTAAGGTTTTAGTAAATCTTACTTATCTAATCAATAAAGACAAATTAGTAGTGGGCCGTAGCCACTAACTAGTAGCTGGCCTTGTTTGCCCCAAATACTACGTGGGCTTCAAGTGGATAAGCCGCGAGAACCAAGTATAAAGAACTACCAGAAAGAAAACTTATAGTTGTCAAGAGAAAATAAATTCACTTAAATTGTATTTTTTTTAGAATTAATTATGAAGCTTTACAAACTTCTGATCAAATTTACTCACCTTTTGTCTTCCTTACGATTTTAGGACTACTGGACAAATTTGGGCCTATAGTTTTGGCAATTCGCTGAGTTCAGATCAAGAGACAAACGATCCAATGGATCATCATCCTATAAATTATAAATATAGGAGGGTAGATTATCCTCCATGACGAGTTTTCATACTCAAATTAATTTCTGCAAATATTACTTTTTCTCAACTTGGCCCCGCTACTTCTCTCAGTTTCTATTTAGCTATATTTTCAGTTGCTCGAATGATTAAAAAAAAAAAAAAAAAAAAAAACCATTGTCTTATAGAGATAGTTCAAGCATTTGATCTGATCACAAGCTTCCTGCTCTTTGAACTATTTATCCTTCCACCTTGCTTATACACTTAAAAAGCTTACATTTGATGCATGTGTTTCTTAAAGAATGCAAGAGAACTATTTAAGTCATCACACCCAAATCAGGTTCATTTATTTCAAATAAAAGAACTATTTAAGGCTCCTAAAGTTTCCCCTCTCTTTGGAACTGAAGCATCAATGGTTGTAACTATTGCATTGGGTGTTACAAATTATAATGTAGAATATCTGATATGTATCTCTACGATTATTCAGTCTATTTTCACCAAAAAAAAAAGGGAAAAGGAAATAATGTTACTATGAATTCACCTGGATTATAATAGATCAGTAGAATTACCAACCGTTAGCCGAATAAGGCTAAATTATTCTTTCATTATTTTTATCGATGTTTCTTGCTATGTTTAGAAAGCAAAATAGACTCTGAATAAGATTTATTAAAGTACTTCACCGTTTATCACATCTTCATAAATAACATAAACCATAAAAATTGAAAATAGAAGCACTAATTATATTTCATTTCGCACTGGTTGACTGTGAAGTTGAATTATAGGGGTTTTTATCCTTTTTTACCCGCTTACAAGAAAAATATACCTGTTTGGGATTAAGTTGTACCGATCCTATATAACCTGATCAACAATGCCCAATTACTAGCGGGCCACTGATAGAAGTCTTCCAGTCTTGTTCGGCCCAAGTATATTGTGGGCTCTTAAGTGGGTGTAGACAAAAGGCAATCATATATAGAGAACGAAAAAACAAAAAGTCTAAATAAGACCGTACGGGAATTATCTTATATTGAGAGCAATACGCGTGTGTGGCTCGAGCCAGATGTCTAAACAAAAAAATTTCAAGCGAAAAACAATTTATTTAAATTGTACAACTCGGAACAAGTTTTGAACGTCTACAGACTTTTGAAGAAACTTTACTGATCTTTTGTCTTATGACTTTTTACATTGTCACATAATTGGGCCTAGATTGACTGATTTACTGCATTCAGCCCAAAAAAAGAAGCGACAACCCAATGGGTTTAGGCTTGGTTGGGCCAACCCCAAAAAAAAAACAACGGACAAGTAATCAGGAGAGTAACAGTCTCGTACCTGATCATAACGTTGATGCCTTGATGGTCAAATTCATCCCTCTTCGTAACTTGGAAAGATTTATATTTTGCCCATATTTTATTCTTCCGTATACTTTTATATCTATGTCGCCACCTTTTCGCCAATATTTTATTCTTGCGTATACTTTAATATATCTATGTCGCCACCTCATAATCATACATTAATTTAAATTGCATGTAGCAACATTTTGGAGCGCTTCAAGCTAACTCATGTCAATTATGTGAGAGGACACCTTGGAAGGGTAGTGTGTCCATGTCAGCAGATTAAGTTTGAAATCGGTATTCAATTAATGCAGCAGAGTTTGAGGATCAATTTTTTTTTAAATTGTTGTTTGAGTTCTCTTCTATTCAGTAACTCTTTCGTATACAGTCAGTTGTATTGAAACTTATAGCTTTACTTGAAGACTATGTGAGATTAATACTAAACTGAAGATGTGAATTAACCAAGATATATTAGAGGCTTAAATTTTATGATATCTAATTCTTGTAGTACTTAGAATAATAGTTAGATGTGTGTGTATATATTTATTTAATATGTCTATATTATTAGCTCGTTTGAAGCTTGAAGGATAATTTTGTATATGTAGCATATCAATTGTCACTGATCAACTTGTGTTATATATATACTATTTGTCTACGCCTCCTTAATTTGGTGCTATCGGCAATACATTCAACAGAGGATATAGCAAGAGTAAGAGCTAGCAAACTCTCTAGCTAGCTTCTAAGGTTCAATTTTTTTTTGTCATTTCTTTCTTGTTATTATTGAATATCTTTACTTGAAGGCTATGCAAGTGACTATATATAATGAATTGAAGATGAGAAGTTTCTGTTATTATTTTATTGATTGGGGTAAGAGCTCCAAATTCTTTTTAGTTTTTTTATTGAATTACGAAGAGATATTGTAGGCTTGAATTTCATATCTAATTCTTGTCATATAGTTAGAATAATAGTTAGAATAATAGTTAATGCTATGGTGATCAACAGATTTGGTAATGTTGAAAATGTACATAGAGTTCTTGCTACCTGTCTCAAAGATGGCAATATTCAAATTTCATCTATATACAGTATTTTATCCCATCCTTCAGCTACTGTGACCTGGTCGAATACAGTTTGGGGGGGCTTGCACTATCCCAAACACTCTTTGATAATGTGGCTTGCTGTTCTCTCGAGACTATTGACCAAGGATAGGCTGTGTCGTATGAAGATACTAGATGCTAGCCAGAATTGGTGTGTGCTGTGCATAGGCTCTGTCAATCGGCCTGAATCCAAGAAACATCTCTTCTTTGAGTGTCAATTCTCAGGTTTTGTTTGGAATGAAATGATGGAATGGCTTGGCTTTACATGGAGATCATGTGATTGGGATCATGTGATGAACTGGTTTTGCAACAACATGAGGGGTCTAGGATTCATAAAGAAGATGAAGAGAATGGTACTGTCGGCAACTATATACTGGATATGGAAGGAGAGAAACTCAAGAATTTTTCAGCAAAAATGCCGAAGTCCAGACCAAATTGTGAGAGAGGTGAAGCTTTCAGTTCTTATGAAAGTGCTGCATGAAGACATCCCAGATCATTTGAGAGAGAAAGTTGAGAGATTGTAAGTGAGTTTCGGGTTTTTTTTCTCATTGTTTGCCAGAATTTTATCTGGTTTTTGATGTACTCTCATTTCAAAATTTGGAAAATGAATAAAAATTTTTCATTTACCAAAAAAAAAAAAATAGTTAGATGCTAGCTATTTAATATGTATGTTTATATTCACTAGTAGAAAAACGAGCAACCTAGACGGAAATTTTCATCTAGGTTAAGTTGCTCCAAATCCCATTTAGATTGGTTCACCTAGACGGAATTCCGTCTAGTTTGAGCCAATCGAGACCGATTCAAAATAAACGTTCCGTCTAGTTAGTTCCGTTTATTTTGAATCGGTCTAGATTGGCTCAAACTAGACGGAATTCCGTCTAGAGTGATCAACCTAGACGGAATTCTGTCTATGTTGCCAACCTAGATGGATTTCCGTCTATAACCTAGATGTATTTTCGTCTAGGACGGATATCCGTCTAGTTTTCCAACCTAGACGTATTTCCGTCTAGGTTGATATTTTTCAGCAAAAAAAAGTATTTATAATTTGTATTTTCATGTACAATTACATTAATACATGAATACATTCAATAAATACTGGACCCATGAATACATCCAACCATCCAAATATAATCAAAATTCATAACAATTCCATTCAAAACCAAATATAATCAAATCCAACACAATGCATAAATCCAACCATTTAATCCAAAGCATACATCAACCAATTCCGTCTAATATATACATCCAACAACATATATACTAACAATGTACATGAATAAGATAGGATACACGACATGTGTTACAACAAATAAAATTGTTTATTGCATTAAAAATAAAAAACATCATCTATCATCATCGTCGGCAGTATCTCTATCCCGGTTACGAGAACGGGTACTGCTCTCTCTAATATCTTCACTCTGAATGTTCAATTGAATAATCATTATGTGGTGTTTGATAACATATTAAATAAAAATGAATTTATAAATATAAGAAAAAATAAGGTACTTGAGCTCTGCTCTATCTAGCGTTGGAATTATCGCCAATCGAGCTTATGATCTGTATGATACCACCACACGCACTATAAGGAATCACACCGCCTAAATATTATATAACATACCCCATGAGTTCGTCCATCGAGTTCGTCGTCAGCGCAACTCTAGTCATCTTATTAGTCACCTGAATATGCAGCTCCGGATCAATCTTGTCAATCAAATACGCAGAGATACGTGCAACAAATGACATAGCCTGGAAATAGCTTTGGGCTGCTCTCATTGATGTAGATGGCGTGGAGGATGCTGTGGATGATCTCATGCTTATGTCGGGTGAAGCTCCAACACCATGTAGAAGATATCTTCCTCTCCTATTATTAGGAAGAAATAAATATTAAATTTTACTCTCAAATTTAATAATGTTAAACAAATATAAATAGGATAGTATTCAAATTGATTCGATTTTTTACCATCTATACCTATTATGACCCATCAGGTTTTGTGTGAGAGTGATGTTCTCCTCTGTAAAAAGCATGTGGGGGTCTGGCTCGGTTTGTTTCTCCTCCTGCAAAATGTACACAGATGCAGCCTCCTTGGATGCAGCCGTAAATCCCTCCTAAAGCACAAATATATAGTTAATTCAAGGTAAAGACCATATTATTTGTGTTCTCGTTTCCTCGTAATATTAACAACGAAATAGAGTTAATAATACTACTCAAGATATGTATAAGTCTCACCACCAACTCGAGATATGCCTTGATCTTATCCCGATTCTTCTCATCACCCCTATATCTATCACGGAAAGTACCATACGTCGCTTTTGCCCTCAAGTGTATCGGCATCGGCATTAATGATTTTCCATGTCATATTATAAATTATGAGATTTCATAATCATACTAAACATTAAGATCATTTAAAGCTTTAAATGACATACACCGTATCCTGATAATAAACATCTTTCAAATTGGCATAGGAGTGTGAGCCCAAGTGGTGGTCATGTAGCTTCTTTCTTCTCTTTTCTGACCCCTTTGTGGATTTATACTTAAAAAAATTCAGTAAATATGCAATGAAATAATATCTTAAAATTAGGGGTTTTAAACTAAATTCAATAATAAACAATAATAAAATTAAAAATTCTAAAGCTAAGTAGAAAAATCATACATTTTAAGCAAATGAAACAACGAACGCGCCAATGATCACGGTTGGACTGCTGGAAAGCTAGGGCTTTTTTAATTAAAGTGAAGGGGGGCGGCTGGGGAAGGGGGGGGGGGGGGAGGGGGGGGTGGGGGTGCGGCAGGTGAAGGAGGGTTGGTAGGGGAAGGGAATAAGGAGAGCAGCCGAGGAAGGGTGGCTGTCGGGGGGGGAGGAGGTAGGGGAGGGGTGGGGCAAGGAGGGGATGGGGGAGAGGGCGGCCAAGGAGGGGGGGGGGGGTGGGGAGATGCTGGGGAAAGGGGTTGGGCGGCAGGTGAAGGGCGACGGCAGGTGAAAGGCCGATTTCGTAATTACACGGGACTAGTAGTCCCATGTAAATTAAAACTTCAGTTTTGTGAAATCGGTCTTATTTTGGCATGTTGGCAAAAAAGATGTCGATTTTGCTAATTTTATTATAAAATGATCGACTTTGCTTATATTGTTTCGAAAAAGGTCTAATTTAAAATTTTCTCCTTATGTGGATATAAATGGAAATATGTCGTTCTAACGTTTTGTAATACATCACAACTGTAGTAAAGCTAAGCATAAGTGTATTCCGTTAGAAAATTGCGAAAATGATGTACATTTTCATATGTTATCGTTTTTTTTGCACTGTATTTGTTATTTGCTTTTTTTTAATTTATCATCAAAAGGGATAAATTATGTATGACAGAGGTGAAAACAACAACATGGAGAAAATTGTTCATGCAATGAGTTCATCCAATTCTAAAGGAACACCTGAATCTACTATATATGATCAACAGCAAGTCAGCAGGCCCATTTATTCCAATCTCAAAGCTTATAAAGAACTTATCAAAGACTATCCCTCGTGAGAAGATATCTACCATGAAAAAATTTCAGAAGGCCTTCATAATAAGACAATTTTTCTTCAGATTTTTAGACATTGCAATTAATGTATTCTACTTTGCCTTGTTATAAACAAGATGCAACAAGAAACTCACTCGTCATCAAATGGCTAATTACCTCAGGAAGCTATAGGCAATGATGATTTATCATCTCGAGTATCAAAGCTTATACAGTTATACCAATGAGATATGATTCTTTTTTCAAATATATATCTCAAATATAACGTTACTGCTGTTTTTTATATCATGAGATTAGAAGGTTAATGGTTGGTCATGAATATACGTTTTAAATTTATATTTCATTATGTTTTTATGTAGAATAGTAATTATAATTTTTTAGCATCGATCTAAAGCAAACTCCTCGTGTACTTAATTAAATGAAATTAATATATGATTTTGACAAATTCAGGATTTTCTAGTTTAAATTTTTAGAGAACAGCAACGTAATTCTAACATCATCACTTTATTTTCTCATTCAAACAAGATATTTATTAAAGCATACGATCTTTTTGTAAGCCGTATCTTTTCTGTTAAATTTCCACCTTGTTATTTGCAGATATCTTTATATTATATATTATTATGAAATTAATCTTTATATTATCAACTAAAAATATAGAAAATTATACAGAGAGAGGTAAGAGAACATCCCCAAAATTTGCTTATATATTCGTTAATTTTTTTTTCATATTCATCTTTTGCATGCAGACGAGTACCATGGCAACATTAATAATTTCAGATTTTGAAAAAGTCAGTATGGAATAATGCGGTGGATGTGATCACATCGTTTTGTACTCTTTTGTTCAATAAAATGATCGAGGAACTTGAAATGCATATTTATTACTGGCAAAATTAAATGGAATTTGGAAATGAAGCTGAGATTCTGCTTAATGAAATGGAAATCTTGAGTCCTATTTAATTTTCCAGACTGCAACTTCGCACCTTTTCTAGAACAATTAATATAATTTCAGTCTATCTTAAAACAACACATTGGATGCATGCATGTATATCATGGGCTCATACAGTCCACTTCGGATTGTCTTTATGCTAATCCTCTGAAGAATCATACTCTCTCATTATATCTAATAAAAGCAATTCCAGCTAATAATTGATTTGAAGTAGGATATACCTGCTGCAAAGTATTTATACATCTACTCCGAAGAAAATCAAAATCATTATTGAGTATGTGTAAATGTAGAGACAAGCCTTCTTGATTAATTGTCTCATTAATGTCTAATATATTTTAATGAAATGAGTGGCCTAAACAACTTGTACATCCTCGAAAGAAAAGAAATTAATTAGATGAGCATATATACAATCAACAATGATAACCTGTTGCCACCCTAATAATAGTTCTCATCCATAGTTCATTGTTGCATAAATATAGAGAAAAAATGATTTAGTAATAAATAGTAGTATTTGTGTGTGTGTGAGAGAGAAAAAAATAGAGAGATGTTTGCATGTAATATGATTGCATGCAATGCCTCTATGCACGTGCGTCTCTCTCTCTCTCTCTCTCTCTCTCTCTCTCTCTCTCTCTCTGTGCAATGTAAGAGAATCTATCACATACTAATCAAGTGTCAGATTAAATGCTCCATCTCTCTCCTCTTGATCTGTCTGAAACCTCTCCAATAAACAACCAAAACTTGATCAGAGACACTTTGATTCCCAATTATTAATTAAACCCTTTTCCAAGCCCAACATAATGCCTACAACATCTCTCTTCACATTCTCATTGATGAATCCTATATAATCCCCAAAAAAAAACACACAGACATACAAAATGGCACTCACTCTACCATGTGCTCATTTTGTCTCTACTCTCAATTTCTCAGTACAATTCACTGGCAACTCATTAACCAAGTACCCTAATAAATAATAGCAGTAATCCAATACAGGACAATTTCATAATTAATGAGATCCAGTCCTCTGATTCCCTAATTAATTTCCCTTTTACACAAATTCAGAAGTTTTAAAAAACCAATGCAAATGACACAAATGTGGAAACTCAACCCTTCTAGCTAGGTCCAAATTAATTGCTTCACTGTAGGGCATTCAAGCCAGTGTTGACATTTCATTGGATATCCCTTTGCTTTAATGCACATACGTGTGAAAATGTCTATATTTAATCACTGAATGATCGCCAGATTTCATGCATCAATTCAAGTGCTATTGCGCTTTATTTAGGATCTAGGATTTAGGGGTTTTGTCATTTTTAAGAGTTTGCTATTTGTAGGTGGGTTTTTTTTTTATCCAGGCTTTGATATTTATAATAATTAACGTGGGCAGTAGAAGAAACAAAAGGAGCGCAGAAAGCGGTTGGGTTTATTCCTTAGGGTTTTGTTACTGGTTTTGTGAGTTTATTATGTATTGTGTTTGATTCCATTAGGTGTGGGTGTTTTTTGATTGCAGAGCC